TCACATCACCCCTCTGAAATGTATCACTATCCTGAAGCAAAGGATGTGAATCATTAAGCAATCCTCTCAAAGGCATGCAGTTGAAATGTAGGTCTCTCTGTTGAATTCTAAAGGCTGTACTTCCTGCTCTGTTAACTTCCTTGTTTTGTTAAGAATATCTTTTGTAACTTGTTTCTTATACCCTACTTATTAATCCCTGATTGATAGCAATGATATGCATGAAATATCACCTTCTGTAAAGCTGATATTTATGTTTTTCATATCACATTAGATCAATTTCTCTGTTAATTTCACCAGATTCTATAGTGAGGAAAATAATTGAAAATGCCATCTGAAATACATTAATCATTTCTCTTTCAAAAGAGTAAAGGGTGAGAGGGGTCAGTTTCACTAACACCTCACTGAGGAGAATGGCAATTCTTCATGTTCCATTGGAAAGAGTAGGTCACTTAACCAATAAAATGGTTACAATGCATCCATAAGATCATGGAATAGAGAACTAATTGTACTTTGTTTTGTGGTTGCATAAGGGCTTCTAGACTTTTAACAAACTAGGAAAAGTATTTGTTCCCTGTTTAATGTCTATTTATCTTTTACCTAATTATATTTCCCAGAATGACAGGATGAACATGAATTGAATAATGCAGCAACAACTGATGATCTGGTAAGTAGGAGAACAAAAGATTTGATACACACAATCAGCCATAGCTTTCACAAACAGCAGCCTGGGTTGGTTTTGATTCATTCTGAGGACTGATATTTTTGTTATTTGGGGGACTTTACTAATGATAGCCGATATTTTCTAGTACTAAGCATGACTGTATGAATGGGTTTTACATGGATTAGCATGCAGGTATCGTATATGTTGGCTAGAACTATAATCCTCACTTTGTAGATAAGGAGATGAGGGTTTAAATGAACTAAATAACTGTTCCCAATCCACACAGCCACAAAGCTAGGCATTACACCTAGGATAGAATTTGCTACCCTTCAGTCTGGCCTAAGTTGTGCCAGTCTTGATTAATGAATGCTTCATTCATCTCATTTAGAAGTAGTTCCAGTTTGCTGATTTCTTAATATGCCTGTTTTTAACAGTCAGGAAAGAAAGCTTTATTGAAGCAGTAGATAGTATAAAGTAATTTACATTTGTCTCTTTTAAAAAATTATGATAGAAGACATCTAACGTAAAAGTATCTTAGCCATATTTAATTTTTCAATGCAATAGTATTAAGTATTCAGATTGCTGTATAAACTTTATAATCTCCATCTCTAGAACCCTTTGCATTACAGTTGATTTTAAAGACATACAGCAATATCTGGTGAAGGTCTAGTTGAACCTTTTCTCTGAGTCAGACACCATGGTGGGTAAAACGTAGATCACTCCACTTTCTCAAATTTCCCCTACAAAGCTAATCAGCCCAGCCTGCTAAGTCCAGATTCTTGTGATTTGGTTTCCCTCAGACTAGTATTCAGAGAAAGGGGAAGAATGAGGTGAAGATGTGATTTAATTGTATAATAGGGTCTATACCATCAAGTGTTCTCCTGCATGAAGTATGGAGGGTAGTAAGAGCACAGACTTATATCTTGGCTGTACAAGCCCTTCACGCCTTTCCCACCCTTCCAGTCATGTTTACTGAAGCATTTTGAGCATGTTTTTTTAGCTTCCTTGGGTACCTAAATCTTCATTTAGAAAATACACATCATTTTTAAACTTTATTCTTTTTCCTATACAAGAGATGATAATGTATAGAATTTTAAATCATCATTAGTAAGAAATATATATATTCATACCTCTGTGATCACCTTTATGGAGGGTAGACATTGAAAAAAACTGCTAGCCTTTCTCATGCTTAAGTGTAGTATGTTATCAAGAGATGAATTATGTCAAGCACTCATGGATCATGCTTGCAATCCTAGCTACTCAGGAGGCTGAGATCTGAGGATCATGGTTCAAAGCCAGCCTGGGCAGTGAAGTCCATGAGACTCTTATCTCCAATAAACCAACAAAAAACCAGAAGTGTTGCTGTGGCTCAAGTGGTAGAGCGCTTGCTTTGAGCTGAAGAGCTGAGGGACAGTGCCCAGGCCCAGAGTTCAACCCCCGACTGACAAAAAGAAAAGAAAAAGAAAGAAATTGTGTGTACATATGCTCGTGCATGTGTGAATCTCTGCATATACCTTGAGTATGCAGGTGCATATTGGTGAGGGAAAGGTACAGAAGGGGATTTAAATGCTTTGTTATTGATAGAAAAAAGAAAAAAAGACACTCATGGGAGACTCCAAGGACAGGAGACTAAAGCCAGGAGATGCTTAGAATTGTTGAGAGGAAAGAAGACCAATGGTCCATGAAATGCTTCACCTATGTGGTGCAACAACATACTTCTGTTCTATCATAACTTTTGCACCTTCTATAGCAACTGCTGAAGATAGAAATACTTGAATGTTCTCTTTGAGGGTATACAACTAGAAAGTGACATGAATACCAAACTGGACTTTAGGACTGGATCCTGAAGCAGCCAGGTAACTCACCAGGTAGTCAGGTATTATATAAAGCACACATCACAAATGCACACATCAAGAACCACCATGTGTGTCTTTATGAAAGTTATTTTGAAATTCTCCATGTGTCTCATGTAAAGGCATTAGAGCTGAAAGGCATCAGGCTTCCTGTCAGAGGATGGACCTCAGGGCACAAATCAGGGAACTATAATAGCTTTTAGGATATAAAAACTCCATTGAATGAAGGGAAGAGAAATGGAAGCAGTAACAAAGTGTTAGGTAGACCTCTCCTGGGATAGGGGATGGCTATTACCAAACAAGCAGAGTCATTCTTTTACAAAAGGCCCAAGATCAGTACCTTCCCCAATAGAGGCAAAATGACTTTCCTTCTATAAGTGCATGGGGAAAATCCTTAAGACATCTGGGGGCCTAGTTTAGTGTCCAAGGTATACCATAGAGTGTACAAGAATCTTTCTACATATGTCCTGTTAGCAGATCCAGGCTTCTCTATCTTATAAGGGAAATTTGCCTCAAGCTAACAAAGTGGGATTCTCTGTCTTGAGTATTTCAAACATATTAAGGAAATTGTGTAATTTTTCTGCTGTGGAATGTGAATCTTTCTACATCAGTCTTCAAAAATAATGCTGCTTGTGTTCACCAGATTGGTTTCCATGAAACCAATGCATGCCTGAGATAATCAACTGGGAAAGAGGAAAAATGTATTTGGGCTCACAGGTTTGTATGTTCCAATCCTGGGTTGTTTGGCCTCCATTGCTTTTGGACCTGTATATAATAATGCAGGAGCACAGGAAGCTGCCTGCTTTGTGGGGCCTGGGAAGCAAGTGAGCTCGGGAAGGCTGAGGCCCTCCAATCCCTGTTGTAGGTAAGCCTAAGAGCTCTCCCTAGGCCTCAACTCTTAGTTTCCTATAGCACTACCCCAGGGTATAAGCCTTTAACATTAGGACCTTAGATAGGACATTCTAGATCTCAACTATAGCACTCTCTTTTCTAAAGCATTTGGGAACACTCGCTATCATTTAGAGGGAAGGTAGATACCAAGAGGGCATAGAGAAACACAAATTTTCTCTAGATTTTACCAAGTTGTCTAAAGTAATCTCACAAAGCCTTTGGTAGCACTCTGTCTGTGGTCACATGGATACTAATTTTGAAATAATTTTGGGCGGACTTTGTCCTATTGTGAAACAAGTCTCTCTGAGCTTTTTGTCTATTAAAAGTGCTGGGGAAAGGACCATACCACTGAACCTTCATTCAGAAAGCAACAATGTATGAGAGAGGAAACCCTCATGCAGACAAACCTTTTCTCTTCCAGTAGAGAGGGGAAGAGAAAACAACAATGTCAGTTGCCAATGTCCCTGTTTCCTCCATACTTTCATCAAACATGGGTGTTGAGCAAAGACAAGAACTGGTACATACTTCACTTAGAAGAGCTAGGATGTTCTTTGTGATCCAAGGGGGACTTCCCATTCATCTGGGCCCTTTTCTTGGGGTCTCCAAGAGAGTATAGGGACTTAGCAACTAGGGATAATGGCAGGAACAAGTATTCAGTTTTGGCTACTGCCAAACATCAAAGGAAATTAGATGTACAAAGAAGATCAGCCCTGCACCAGCCTCACCCAGCTATCCCATGACAGAGGTGACAAGGATTTGGGGGACACTTTGCATAACCAGAACATCTGAGGGGGCTGTTATGAAGAGTAAGGATTCCTAAGAAAATACTTCAGATGAAATGGAGATGCCATTCAGTAGTCCTTTAGTTTCAAACCCTCAAGTAGAGGACTAGAGATGATGTGATCTTGGGCACCATTTTTCTATACTCAGGGGCAGAAAGGTTTGGGAGAGCTGGAATTCAAAGCCAATCACAGAATAATGCTTTAAGGAAGCAGATGAATGGCTTTAAGTTGTTTGCCATCTATAATAACAAGTTTTCAACCCCAAAGTGTAAGAACTCAGCTGTGTGTTAAATATGGTGCCCCAAATAACTTATTAGCAAACATCGTATGGGGGAAGCACAGAACTAAATCCAGAACAGAGCTTAGGTGTAGGAGGGTATTTTTTTTTAATATACTACTTATTCACTCTTCTTTTGTTTGTAATGGAATTTCCCATTCTGAGATTCTAATTACCCTTTTCATTCCCACTATCATTTGAATTCCCCCCTTTCTAAAATAAAAATAAATGTTATTTCCAAGGAATTATGATGACTCAGTATGGACATCTTTCCTTCCCCTTAGTATGTAGTGAACTAGAGGTTAGCTCTCTTCCTCTTGCAGGTCTAAGCCCTGCAGTACTGCCATGAGGAGTGTCCACAAAGCCCTGGAAGCAGTTACTGGCCTACAGTAAATGACTGCTCGGGTTTCTCCCTTAAGGAATCTTAATCAATTATGAGTAAGCCACTCACGCTATCTTATTATGGATTGCAAAAGTAGACACTGGGTCCTCCATTGCTGCCCATTGTACACATACCATAAAATGATCCAGAACTGAATTCTGAATTTTATTAGAGAATATATCTAAAATACAATATTTATTAAGTTATGATATTTGAATGGAAATATACTCTGTATCACAACTATAACAATTTTTATAGCTCATACTTCATTCTAGAATTCCAAAGTCACTGAAGTATAACATAATTCACATTTAAGATAACTTTGCTACAAATATATAAGAATTTTAAAAATATTTTCATTAATATAACATCATGGAATCATGAGTGCTCATTTTATCTGATTCACAGTACACAAAATCATGACTATTTGGCCTGGTTTACTTAATTAATTCAATTTGCTTTCTAATACGGATTTGCACTCAGCCATTCTACAATCCTATGTTTTGAAAAGAGCATTTTAGTGAACAATTCTGAGTGCTCCTCACTCTGTGTGCTGTGGACAAAGTCATATTTCTGCCCTTTGCATTTGGTTCCTGTTTCACAAAGGCTATGGCAGAAGCCAAGCACTAACTCACACAGCTCTTCCCTCAGGTATGAGTCTTTCTTTCGCTCTTCACATATTAGTAAGCACGACAGGTGAGAGATGAAGGATCTACAAGACCAGACACAAAGCAGCCGGGGTCCAAATCACCAAGGTAGACTTGTGTGAGCTACTGAGTAACACCCGGAGAGTCAACTCTCCGGCCTCCTCATTTGAAGGAAGCTTTGATTTGCCTGTTCTTCAGTGGCTGAGCTGGGCGCCAGTTGTCCACCATCAGTTCTTCCGGTTCACCCTCTCCATTGAAGTTAAGTTTGCGGAATTGCAACATCTAAAAGACACAATAAAAAAAATTAAAAATTAACCGTTCACAGTACTATTGACTTAGGTGCTTGTGTTGTACCTGGAAATAGTCTCCAATATTCATAGTACCATGCATCAATGACCACTGCTCAATTTTATTCCTAGTAGACAACACATAATCATAGACACATATACATGTATTACTCATGTATGATTTCATATAGGAAATCTGTTTATATACAAAATTCAGGAAACCATTGAAGCCATTTCAAAGGAAATTTTCAGTGAGCTTGTTTTTCTTACATTTTGAATCAAACATCGAAAGTCTATAAATTCTTATGTCTAATACGTAAAACAACAATAACAAGGCTAGATTCAAATTAAAGGTTGTTTTTTTTTTTTTCCTGAGCTACAGAAGGTAAACTACAGCATTTATAGAAACTGATAAAGGGCTGGGATCTACAAGCTCCAAAGGCCCGCCAAGTTATCTGCTAGCATTTGTGTGTGTGTGTGTGTGTGTTGTGTGTGTGTAGCAGATTTATAGATGTGTGTGTATGCATGTATATATATGGATTTATATTTTTTCCAGGAATGTATCTGCTCATGCTAGGACTTTAAACACTTGTGAATGGCTTATTTTTATACCCTTTAAAACCTGTATTTGTTTCCTTGTCTTGTACTGTGACACAAGCATCTCAAACAGTAACCCTCCTCCTACTTTTTTTTTTTTTCCCCCAGGGCTGAGGACCGAACCCAGGGCCTTGTGCGCACCGGGCGGGCGCCTTTCTACTGGGCTAAATCCCCAGCCCCCTCCTACTTTTTTGGGATCATAACCATGTTGTTTTTTCCTTTTCCTTAGCAAGACTTGATCTGTGTGAAGAAAGATGGCTTGAAAATTAATATAGAAGTCCATGGACCAGTAGTTTTTAGCTTGTTCATTCTGAATAGTCATATCCCTTCCATTGTTCCTACATAGTCAAAACTTTGATGTAGTTCAACTCTTGGAACATGTACAGTTAGCTCTTCAAGGACATCTAAGGTTAATTACAACAAAAATTACAACAAAAAATTACAACAAAATCCCAGTAATACAAAAAAGAGTCTACTTAAAAAATGTACTCAGGCCAGGCGCCGGTGGCTCACGCTTGTAATCCTAGCTTCTCAGGAGGCTGAGATCTGAGGATTGTGGATCAAAGCCAGCCCGAGCAGGAAAGTCCATGAGACTCTTATCTCCAATTAACCGCCAGAAATCCGGAAGCAGAGCTGTGGCTCAAGTAGTAGAGCGTTTGCCATGAGCTGAAGAGCTCAGAGACAGTGCCTGAGCCCAGAGTTCAAGCCCCATGACCAAAAAAAAGTACTCAGAACAAATATTTTGGTCAAACCAGTGTAAGTGGCTTATAGTCCCTTTTTACACTCTTATGTTGGTCAATTTGACTTTTTTTCTCTTTTGATGGTACTGGGGTTTCAGGGCCTTGAACTTGCCAGGCAGGTACTCTACTACTTGAGCCATGCCCCTCAGACCTTTCTACTTTTATTACTTTTTGAATAGGGTTTCACTTTTATACCCGGACTGGCCTAGATTACAAATTTCCTATTTATGCTTTCTGAATTGCTGGGATGATAGGTACACGCCACCACACCCAGCTTTTAATTGGTTGAGAAATGGTCCTACAAACGCTTTCTTGAACTATGATCCTCTCCATTTCTACCTTCCAAGTAGCTAGGACTGTAGGAGTGAAGCACCTTCACTCATTCTTTTTTCTCCATTTTTTTATCAAAGAGACCATCAAAGAGCCACTACTACCCCATGATTTCTCTGTCTTCCCCTCTAAGTCTCAGGGTATAAATCTGAGGGAAAACATGTGAATGGAATCCTTCTGCCATGAAGAAAACTGGATGGTAAGTGCTTCAGTTTTCCTACACCTCTGACTGTATGTCACACAACTGTAGGCAGTGAAATGAAACAGTGAGACAATATCATCTGCTTCATCTTACAGACCCAAAATTTCTATGGTTCTAAAATGTGTACGTTTAAGTCACACAACTAGAGTTGCCATTTTCTAAACAGCTGGCTGCTGATTCCTTAAATTATCAAAATTCAACCTTTTGGAAATGCTAAAAAAAAAAAAAGTGTCCATTTCCCACAATTCAACTATGTACTGAGAGGATGTCCAAGAAAAAAATTAATTTGAATCTGCATTCATGGATACACCAAAGATTTAGAAGCAGCTTTACCCACTTAAATATCACCAACTCAATTCTATGAGAAATGTAGGACTATGTGGTCTGAGCCTCTAAAGCAAACTGCAGTAAATTTCTTTTTAGAGGTACTGGGATTTGAACTCAAGGCCTTATGCTTACAAGGCAGGTGAGGTCCTCTACCACTTGGGCCATACCTCAGTCCCAGGAATGTATTCTTATATGCCCCAAACTGTAATAACCTCTTGAATCATGAGTAGTAAGGCTAGGTAATTATCACTGATATTTATGAAACCATGAATATGAGTCTCATTCTTCTGGGCCTCTGTCTTTTCATAGCTGACCAAAAAAAGAAATCATTCATTAGCTGACAGATACCTTGATCATTTAATTCTCACAATGACCAAGCAATTGCACAGATTAAACAAATCGCCTAAGGTTATAGTTACTGACTAATATTTACAAATCCTCTTTATTTACTAAGTGCTGTTGCGGGGCCAGAAGCAGCAGGAGGAAGATTAAATCACAGGTCTATCTGACTCCAAAGACTAAGCTCTTTAGCCTCTGATAAATATTCCACATCTCTCAGCAGAATTCTCCTTAAAAACCCTGACCTGCTCACTGCTGACGGTGATGGGTTCCTTGAGCACAATCCAGGTCACACATTCCAGTAGAGGAGGGGTGGTCAGAGAGCCTGGGTAGGTCCAGTAGTCCAAGCTTCCAGGAAGAAGCCCACGGGGATCAAAGTTAGTGAAGTCAGCACTCTTGCCCTGTCAGGCAAACACATGGCAAAACCATCACGTGATCAGCAGAGAATAGTGAGAGGGCACCAAACATACACATGCCTATTCCTCACTCATAGCCAGAAACCTTTTTGTAGATCACAGGTTCCAGAATTACTAGTGAACAAAACCGAAAGAAATGAACAGGAGACATTTGACTTGGAAATGTAGTTTGGCACACAGGGAGCAAAACCAACTGATTATTGGTTTCACGTGTCCAATTTCTATCTTATTGCCAAAAATAACCTCTTATGCTTTCAGTTACATCACTGACTGATCATATCTAGTATCTGAGGTGAGACTGCTGTACTAGAATAATAATAATAAAATTGGGAGGTGCAGTAGCATGCTTAATGAGAAAGGAAATGCTATGCTATATGACAGCTTGGTTAGAATAAAAGAACTACCCTCAGCTCTGAACACCACTCTTTCAAACCAATAGATGAAAACAGGAATGCTTTATTGAAATAGGGATTGGGTTGTGACAAAGAGATAGAACTATATTGCAAAAAGATTAGGTTACTGTCAAACAAGAATAAGTAACGGCAATTAGAGATAATTAGCCTGGATAGGTCAAAGGACATAAGAGAGACTCCAAGCGGGGTCATGTAGAAGGAGAATCAAGATAGTCAGGTTAGAAAGAAAGGATGCACATCTCAGAAACTCACTGCTGTTTTGAGGGAGTGCTTTTACAGGCAAGGCAGCTAGCTCCTGGAGATGGGTTTGCCATCACCGGAAGGGACTCTAGTATTAAAGTATATGCTCAATGGCCTCCACACAGCTATGAGACAATTTAAACTCATATAGCTGCATCTGATCAGAGCGGTCACAGAGAAGAAATCTATCCATGAAGTAAGGCCTTGTTGATCTTTTTCATCACCATATTGCTTCGATTTGCAAAGTAGTTCACACTGAGAAAGTACTCAAAAAATATTTGCCATAGGGGTGAATGGACAATTAGTCCAGAAACTCTTCCAGTCTGTTTGCATCATGAGATTCTCTCTCTTATATATGGAAGCAAGATTCAGTAACTATTAAGTATCAGAAGTACACTAGAACTGGGGTTGACTTTTGTAGACAGAAATGTTCATTAAGAATAGAAGCAAATTGCATCATTATTAACGCTAAATAGATCCACATAGAATTTTTTTGGCAGTACTAGGGTTTTAACTCAGGGTCATGTACTTGCTAGGCAGGCCTCTACCACATGAGCCACAATAGCCCTTTCTGCTTTTAGTTAACTTTTCAGATAGGACTTACGATTTGGCACGAGGACTAGCCTCAGATTATGACATGACATGTTCACAGGAGGCTCTGGACAGCCCTTACAATACCTCACCTCTTAGCTGGGACCATTGACACATGCTGCCACACTTGGCTTATTAATTGTGATTGGTTTTGGCTAACTTTCTGCCTCCATTCTCCATATCTCTGCCTCCCCAGAAACTGGGATTACCCATGGATGCTACAATTCTTACGTGATCAAAGCAAACTTCTAAAAGTAATAGAGTATTGTTAAATTGTTGTTATATTATTGTTATTGTTGTTGAAATTATTTTTTACCTTTGTTTTAATTGAATCCAGCGTATCGAGGACTTTCTGAAGCCCCACTGTAGCATTGCCAATCTAAAACCCAAGAGAAAGATATTATAACCCAGTTAAGATGATAGCATTCTTTATTTGACAACCCTGTCATACATTTTCTCCATAAAGTGAAGTGAATCTGCCACTGCCTATATGCCACACATTCATCTTAGCTTGAGGATAGTGACACTGAAGCCTCCCTGCTGTTACTGAATCTTCAACCTGGCTCTGTTATTGCCTCTACCATTCTCCTGAAACCACCTTCTCAAATGTCCCCCGTGACCTCTGGTGGCTAAAGCAAAGAGTTTTGAAGTGTTTTCCTTACCTAACCTCCTCAAGGGATTTTACATACTGCCTCCCATTCTTGATAAAAACCCTCCCTTGGCATCCTTCATGCCGTCTAGCCTTCCTGATATCCCTTGACTCCTATGTTCTTCTTTCCTTTAATCAGCATCTTCCCCCTGCCTTAAAAGCTTTACACTATGTCCTGAGCAGCTTCATCATCTCCTTCTCGGTGCTGTCTTCCGTAGACAGGATGACTATTTCATAGACATCTGCACTCCCACCTCAGCTGATGATATCAGGGCTCACGAATCACCTGCTTTCACTGTGCACTCTCTTCTATACAAATAGCTGGATGACAAATCAATTTGTGCAGTCTCACTGTTGGCCACAAATTGCCCATCCTGGGTCCATGTTCTTAACACGCTCCACCACCCCCACTTGATCTTACTTCATCATTGTCTACCCTAAAATGACACCTCAATTGCTTATGGTCAAATTAAAACAACACAACACCTGCTAGTCATCTGCAGTTCACCTCTTTCAGCTCGTTACATTTACATGGGAATTGTGTATAATCAGTGCTTCTTCTAATTGTCTTTCTGGCCTAAGAAAGAAGGCACGAAGAAGTATTAGGAGAAACAAGCCTAAAAACTCTTCCAAGACTGAAGTATTTTCTGGGCGCTTTTGTAGAATGTCCTCTGTTAGGAATGTTCTGTGTGCTCGGTATTTCTTGAAAGCAAGAGAAAAAAAAAAGAGCAAGAGAGAAAAGGATTGAAAAATCAACTCACCTTCAAAAAAATACCCAGAACAGCCAGGCCATCAGGGTGCGTTACAGCTTTTCCAAAGTCCCCATATTTGGTGTTCCAGTGAACTAAGTGAAGCTAAGGGTGTGGGAGACAAAAACCACAAGAAGGATTTATGAAACAGAAGCCAACAGGCCCCATCCCATGAGCTTTCCTCATAACTAAAGGTTCCTAAAAAAGTAAAAACGGAGATACTTTTAAATCAAAATTCTTCATTGTCATGTTAATTACCCACTACTTGGTATAATTGCAAGTGATTTTCCCAACTCTACAGGAAGACAATGCAGAGTTTCAAAAGAAGGCATACATCTTACTTCTAGGTGTATAATCAAAGAGATTCCTCCCATTTGAATTTATTTACTCATTGCCAATGGTGTCTTGGGAGACAAGTTAGAGAAAGTTTTGCAGCCTTAATTATATTATCACACTTGAAGGTTTTAAGAAATAAATGTGAAGGTCCCTTGGCAAAAGAAGTGGTTCACTTGGCGGGAATTAAAATACACAAAGGGAACTTTTGAAAAGAATGTGAAGTAGCACCTTACAAACAGCATGTCTTACCTCTGCAGCATATTTAACTTTATCCACAGTGTGCTCAGATCCTTGCCCATCAGAGGAGCCCCAGTGAAAGTGAAACTGAGCCAGCCGGTAGGGGCTATCCAGTGGGCCTCCTTTCAGCACTAAAATGCAACACAGGAGTGTAACATATCTGCATATACACACACACAGAGGCACACACATACCCACCTAGGTGAATGTACACACACAGGCATACATGCAAAATGTACACACAACACACCCCAGCTAAAGATGACCACCTTAGCCCTGTTTTATAGAACTGCACGTAGGTCACCATATTTTCACTCCATGAAAATCAAATTCAGATTCAGATTTAACTGGCAGTGCTCCTTGCATCTGCTGCCTGAAGTATGGATGCTTCTCACACCCATATGTGCAAAGCACAATGCGCTCATTTTGCAGTCCTGAGTTCAGGTTCCGAGGGTGGAATTTTAAATAGAATTAGTATTTCCTCTGGGAATCACTTGGGAAAAGCCCAGTCAACTACATGCCAATGCACTCGCTGGCTGCACACCCACCTGAACGTGGGGACCTCTTCCACCATGGCCTGATGACTGCCCTTTGACCTGTTTAGTTGACCTCTGACCTACCACTGCTGACATACCAGGATTTGTGAGTAAGCATTCCATTGATCATGGCATTTCAAATGTACTTATCCTTAACTCTGTTACTAACTGGCTTTATCCTCTTGATTTTTTTTTTTTTTTACTGAATCTATTTGACACTAGTTTCTTCATTTGCAAAATATTCAACTCCTTATTTCTTCACTAATAATTTGCCATCTTCTATGTGAAATGTAATGTGTTCTATAATCTCTAAGAACTTTTTTCTTACCATCGCTATCCCAGGTTCTACCCTCCTGGTATTTACTTTATTCAATAAACTTGGTACTAGAAATTACCTTCTTAAACTGCATCTCTGTTGATAATTGACAAGCTGTGTTTTGAAAAAGGATTACAACGTGGGAAATCACTACAAAAATCTTTTTGACCTAAATTATATGTATTAGTGGACTTTAATTCCTATACTTAAAAGCTTTAAAAGTAGTTTAGTTGAACTATATTATTTCTCTAGTACTGAATTAAAACATCTGCTGTGTTCAGTATGTTTTGTTACCCTTGGTTTTGTTTTCTTTTTCTTTTTAATTCCATAAAATAATAAGCTGAAACCTATTCTGGCTTTTCAAAACAAAAGGACAAAGCCAGTATAATCATTAATTTGCTTCACTTAGCTTCACTTATATGTGCTCAGATGATAGCAAGGCCCATTTATGTAGTCAAAGCCAAGATGGGGTGGGCTATAGTGCTTAGCAGCATGGCCTTCGTATGCTTTCTCACAACCTCTGGCTGCCAGCTCAGTCAGGAGAACACAGGGAGACTGAAAACAGAATGAATGAATCAGAAACGGTGTGGTATTACAGATCTACCAAGAGTCATAACTTTAGATGTATTCTGATAAAATCTCACCTTTTGAAACACAAAACCAACTATTCATAAACATTTAGTTTTGTCTGATAATCTGTAAGAAAAGCAAAATCTTAGTTCTCAAAACTTGGCATTTTCAGAAATGAATTCCCTTTTTTATTGAAAAAAAACCCTTAAAAGTGAAATACTGTAAGTGTAATAACTATATCATAATTGTCTAGTAACTCTTCAAAGCTAAAAATCAATTGGCTGATCATGAACGAGTGCCATTTATAACATCAAGTAGCAAAACTAAATAAAACTATATTCCGCAACCAAAATAACACATGGTTATAAATGTAAATGGTTATAAAGATTCCCTCTGTAGAGAATCATGCTTGGATTTTATCAAGAAAGTTTACTGTTACTTTTATTCTCCTCCTTGCAAACCCTAAACTAGTACCTTAGTGTACTTGTTACAGAGAACATATGGAATTAGGTAAGAGTATATTTACATAAACTTTTAAAAGGCTTTATGAACACTAAAAAAATTAAATGAGGAGCTGGAAAGGTGGCTCAGTGGTAGAGTGCTTGCCTTACATGCAAGAGGCTCTGGGTTCAATTCCTCAGCAACACATAAGCAGAAAAAGCCAGAAGTGGCTCCATGGCTCAAGTGGTAGAGCAAGACAAAAAAAATTTAAAGGAGCTCTAATTCAATGATTGAATACATTTGTTTCCCTCTATTGTCACTAGATACCTGTTCTAGCCTCCAACCCCCAAACTCCATATTAATATGAAACTTGTTGCTATGTAGATTAGAAATCTATTGTAATTAGGTAAAGTTATGAACTCTAAAGATAAATTGTTGCAGTAAGCAAAATCTGGCTTCTTTAACTAACTAGTTATTTCTCAGAAAATTCGTAGCATGGAATTTGGTCAGTGAAATCCCTCCAAGACATAGATTCAGGCCAGCTGTGGTGGTGTATCTCTACAATCCCAGAACTTGGGAGGCTAAGGCAGGAGGATCATAAGGTAGAGACCAGGGCAGACTTCATACTGAGATGATGTCACAAAACAAGCAAAACTAACAAACAAACACATGTTGTCATAAATTGTCACAAATTATGATAAAGAAGGAGTATATCTTTGTGAGAAACAGTAGGTTATGTGCTTCTCAGATCTGCTTATTTATTTATTTTGCTTGCAGGATACCATTTTCTAATCTGTTCCAGTTCAAAATAAAATCTATTTTCTAATGAAAAATTACACCTTACAAATAGCAGGAGTTGCTGGCAACATTTGTTTTTCTCTGTGAAATGAAATTCTGGGAGGACATACAAATTCCATGAGCTATTATGACATGTTCCATGAAGGAGGGAGACACAGCAAGGGATTTTCTTCTCTAATTTGCTTTCTAGCCTTTCCAAATTTAACTTAAAGTCAGTCTCAACACAAGAGCTCCAGCCAATTTTCATTGTATGATCTGTCAGTCGATTGTCTCTCCAAAAAAACACAAGAACCGAATATAATATTATAGTTTGTCTTCCTATATGGATTACTTTGGAAAACCATTAGACTTGTTTTTGCTAAAAGTAGGCCATTCCGTAAAAATGCATCACACTATACATCTAAAATAAAAACCAAGAATTTAGCATTTTACATTTTTATTCTTTTCAATCTCTATTACTACTTAAGAGATATTTGCTAATAAACTAGATTTTTAATGCTTCTCAGTAATCCTTTTAAAATACAGAATATAAGTAAACAACTGATTTTCTTTAGTTTAAAACCTAGCATTTAAGAAACTTCCTATCAATTATGCAGCTGAATAATTAACACAGAAAACATGGCATTTCTAGGAACTGAATTTTCTCCAGAAAAAAAAAATTTTAATCACACTTTACTATTTTTACTGCTGATTAAATCATGCACGCTTTGCTTGTTGACAATAGCCAACCATCATCCCAGGGTTATAAGTTAATATAAACAGATCTGGGGAAGGAAACATGACCCTATTCTATTTCTTCTAAATAATTAGATATTTAGCTATCATGTTTACTAGATAAACATGGTCAAAATTCAAGAGAAGAGACGTTTTGGCTTCAGTGGCCCAGCAGTTACAGGAGTAAAATTGGTGCTCTTCATGACTATGCTACTGAAAGCATTGGTCAGTGTCTAGGCTTTAAGGATGATGCTGACACCATCAGTCATGTGCGGGAAAAGCCTTCTCACTTGTTGTTAGGATTCTTTTTAATTTAGGATGGCTTGTGATGGAAATTTTTACAATTTCAAAATGTAAGTCCCTGCAAATCAAGCTGGACCCACTTACAAAGACCCATTCATTATGTCACAGCAACAATCGTTGGCTTGAGAGTACAGGTGAACTTCCTCCCGCTTTGTTTCCTTCTTTCTTTTTCTCTTAAACTCACATAAACACATAAAAAAATTTCAATTTTCAAACACTATATACAGAGTTGCACAATTCTGGCCTTGGCTTTCAATATTTACCCCTAACTTTGCAACAATGCAGAGGAGTTTTAAACTTATTAACACAAGTTAATAAGTGAGCAGGAGTTAATAATTTGACTTTTCTCCCAGATAAAGATCACAATAAAACATCTGAAGCAGGGAGAATTGTTAATACATTTTTTAAGCTTAAAAAGATTACCCTTTTTTCCATTAATTTAAGGTGATTATTCTAAAAGAATTTTAAAACTGATAAGAACATTAATCCTCGTTTGTAAGAAAAGCTTATTAACTCTACATTTAAAATGTGGACTTAAACATAGAAAACACAGTCAGCTCAGTTCCTGAACCTCACGTATTTACATTTTGGTATATGAAAATATTTAAGAAAACCTACATTCTTAAGGAGCTGTGGAAAGCTAAAATTTCAGGAGGAGAGCGGTTGCAGTAAATGAACAGAAGCATTTATGCAGAAAGAAAGGAGTAAAGGACATCTAAAAATGTTAACATAACAAAGACAGCTCCTAATAAAAGAGTAGTTAAGCTTCAAAAGTTAAGTAGCTAAAGTAGAATGAATTATTTTTAGACTTAAGTGTACAGAAAACACATATCAGCTTTTGAAACATGCACTAACTGAATGTTAAAAATATGGTAATCATTCAACAATTCTCATACAAGCTCATTTTCAGGGCCTGCCACTTAGTCAACTTGAAGGGGAAACCGTAGCAAGCTACTTAAACTTTTGTACTTCTTCTCTTCATGTTTATTTTAAAAGGGCTGACTGCAGTTTCTCTACTCTGTCCTACATTTCAGAACCTAGGATTCTGTTTAAGTTTAAAAGTTTCTTTGTATGTGGTACAATTATTTTAAGTTTGTAGAAGGGTTTTGCTTTTAAATCAACATGTTACTATATTCTGAATTATAGTTGAATTGAAATAACTGAACGTAATAGAGACAGAATTACAAAGGAGTTTTTTGGAAGTAGGGGAGAACAAGTCTTTCTAATATTCATTGCTGACCCTTGCTTTCAGCATATTTTCTTGCCTTTCTGGAGTACCTACAGGTGATCTCTTAAGTATTTTCTATCTCCCTTTGCACAGGGTCTCCTAAAATCAATAACTAAACTCCTAAAAATGAATAAACCCTGGAAACCTCTACACAAAAGCCCTATTTTACCCTGGAAATTCTTTTCTGTCATACCCAGTCAGATACCTAAGTTCCCTTCATGTTTCTGCAGTTCCTTGGAACACTTCCTTTTTACAGTTGTCAGTGTCTATTATTTCTATGTCCTATTTTAGATTTGTCAGCAGATGTTGGGCCCTGGGGATACAGGAGAGGAACCAGGCCTGGTGTTATTAATGAGATATATATATTTATATATACATAACACATATATGCAGGCACCTATATATATATATATATATATATATATGTTCATATACATATATATGAACTAAGTAAATAATATCTGTGTCTCTAAATGTTAAGGGTTAGAACCTCTGTTCTGTTTTTACTCTGTCACAGTCTAAATATGGCCATATTTGCTGTAAGAAATTTAAAATATGGCTTGCTGTCATCGTTAGTGCTTACGTAGAAATCAATCCATCAAAGGTTAACATAGTCATAATCAAACATACAATAACTTCATGAATAAAATCAATACATGTTTAATATGGGAAAGAGAATATCATAGAGTATATAAAAACAAAAGCTTTACAACTTTGGTGGGGGGGGAGGAGGGAGGGGGAGGATGGGGGGGCAAGGGGAAGATGGGAAGGGGAAACAAAGGAGGAGGCTATAATGCTTGATAAGAAATGTACTCATTATCTTGCCCATGTAATTGTAACCCCTCTGTACAGTATTTTCACAATAAAAAAAAAAAGCTTTAAATGCTACTGTGAACATCTTTTTTTTTGGTCCATATCCTGGAGCTCATTTCAATTAGCATCATTTTAGATAGTCATATGTACCTAGCTATTGAGCTACTGGTATGTGACTAATCTTAAAGCTGATGAAATCAAAGTTTCTTCAGAGATCTTATCATAGGAACAAAAACTATAGCAATTGCCCAATAAGAGTAGCCACATGGTGTATAACCATAAAAACAGTGGTCATTTATTGAGGAAATGCTATGTGCCACGCATGAGATTGGCATCCTTTAGATATGTAACCCCCATAATCCTTCCTTTGCAGCAAATCCTTTGCAGCAGATACTTCTGACATTCCAATCTTACAGAAAAAAAAAAAAACACCTAAAACTTGGAGAACTACCATTCTTGAGTTCATGAAGGCACTTGACAGAGCTAGAACTTAAATCTGACTGATGTTCATGGCCATCAGACTACTGGCTGAAATCTACTTTCCAGCAATACACATTACAAGAACAATCTATTTCATAATCATAATTTAGGTATTGCCTCATCTGGTACCTTCTGATTCCTTATTTTAAAACACACTTTGGGCATCCCATTTCTAGGTAGCATCCAAGAGGAGTGCATGCTGGCATAGTACTCACTGACAATAGCCATTTCATGGTGGCAGCTATTCACTGAGCTAGCTCACTTTCTGGCTTTTGAGTGACTAACCCTGATATTTTATAGCATTATTTTGGCCATATACAAGGAATATAGGAGTCTTACATTTACAAAAAGAAGTGTTTTATGTTTTAATTATTTAAGCATTGTTTATTTGGAGTGGGAGAAATTCTTGGGAAAGCAATAAATTATACATCCAATCATGATAATGCTGAAATGGTGAATGCAAGTGCATGTGTGTGCATTATGTCTGTCTGTATGCACACTATATCTATGCACACTAAGAAACACAACAGAGGAACAGGTTAAGTTGAAACTATCTCGCAAAATATCTCCAGCTGGTCTCCCACTAAATTGTTTTCCAGAGCCATTGTTTCAGATAGCTAGACATCTAATTTATCTGAAAAAGAGGAAGATTTTCTTTTAAAATAATCATATTGCATTGCTAAAATGAATAGTTAAATGGTTTCAAATACATTTTAGTATTATAGGGGATTATTCAAAATTATTTTAGTATTATGGATCATTATTCAAAATACTGTCAAAACGTTGACAGCATTTATTGAATGTTCTCTCTGCCTTTTCTCTAACAATCCTTCCACTCCAAACAACCACTAAATATAATGTGTTTATAACATCATTTCCTTCAATGACCTTCAGAAGAGAAGGCTCAGGAAAATTGGTCACTGGCAGTTAAATCAACCAGTGAGCAAAAGAGGCAGCGGCCATATCCAAATGGGATTCTTCTCCAGTTTCTAAATAGAATAGGAGCACTGTGGAGGTGTCTAGTAATCAGCCCTATCAAAACGTATGATAACTGGACTTGTTAGTAATAGACTGCTAATGTTAAACACACACACACACACACACACACACACATCTTTGCTTATGGAACGAATTTCTGGGTAGATCTCTACATATCCTGATCCCTTTATCATGCCAGCCTGACAGTGAGAAATAATTCATAAATAGTGTTTTACATGTATTTCAGTATTTTAATTACCAAACGTTTATCATTTATTTCACTGCTACCTAAAAATTATGCACACTAAGATACACTTGTTTATTGTATAGATTTTGATTCTGGAAGTATTTTAGAAAGAATCTGAAAAGTTCAAATTTGGGTAGATGTCATGATTGCTAACCTGTTTTGCCAAAGACCCTACCTTTTGTGACTGTTCTCGGGTATATTATAGTTCCTCATTGCTCTACTTGGAGGCCAGAAATATTATGATGCGGGGGGAGGCTGCCCTAGGAGACTTTTAAGTAATTAGCCCACTACTCTGAGTCTGGGACCAGAAGGAAGAGATCAGAGCACCATCTTCCTGAGATAAACTGTAGCCACCCATTCCTTCCATACAACTAGGGGGGGGGGGGGGGGGGGGGGCGGGGAACCAGCCAGCTCCTGGCTCAATGGCACTCACCTGCTTTGTCCTGGGAGTCATCAAACTCCACGTTGAAGGAGTGGCCATTGTTGAGGATCTTCCGGGAGGCAGCTTGCTCATAGCTAATGCTGAGGGGCTTCAGGCCCGGGTCATACTTAGCTGCTTTGGTGTCGATGTCCACCGGGGACTGGCGCTCTCCCTTGGCAATGGGGAAGTCCTGATGCCAGTGGTCAGGCCCTGAAGACCAAAGGATACTGGTGTCTCCCTCAATATGAGGAAGGGGACACCCAAACCCCTACAATGGCGGGGGAGGGGGGGCGGGGAGGAAGGGCAATGATCTTGTCAGTTTGGACTCTGCTACTTACTGGGTAAACGAGGTGCGTCTTCATTCCCTCATTAATTAGCAATATCACAGATGACTACTAAAGTTAGGACGGATTACACGCAAAGCCCTTGAAGCAAGCCACGTCATCCAAACATCAGCTACCTTATGGCCAGTTTTTGTTTAGTTTGCTTATTTGTTAAATTCAGCAACTAAAATTGCACAGGCACAGCTGCTGCCATCGATCGGGGCTTACAGTCGGGATCTGGGATCTGCCGACTCTAAAGGAATCCCAACGGATGCAGATTTCTCCCTCTGCCTTCCACACTGGGGCAAAGTACTGAGCCACTGTCCGGCGCAGGCGCAGGTTCCCAGGGACACGGGAAGCCCCCCCCCCCCTCCAAAGATGTGTAAAATAGACCGGATGCATCTTTCCTGCACTCCGCTGGCTCCAGAAACCTAGATTTGGGGCCGTGCAGCTCCCAGTGGCCGCCCCTCTAACGTGAGGAGTCTCCACAGCCGAAGGCGAGGTTTAGGAATCCGCGGGATCGATCCCGACCAGCTCCAGGACCCACACAGTTCGTGCAGGGAAATCTTGGCCACAGGTGTTGCGGGGCTGGTTGTTGGGGGGGGGGGGAATCTCTTCGTTCTTCGGCAACCAACTCCCAATTCCCGTTATCAATCTTTCCCCGATCGGGTCAGGACCACGGGGGACTCTGGATTGCAAGGGGCTGCGCGGGGATCCCGCTGAACCTGCTGCGTGTCCGTCCCTCCCCCCCCCCTTCCCCGCCGGGGCTCCGTGCGCCACCACCCGGGATTCCTCGACAGTGCTCGGGAGCTGGGGAGATGGGGGCACCCCCGGCCGGCGCGAGGCGCCCAGGGCGAGGCGGGCGCCCAGGGCGCACCTCTGCTCTCCCCGCTTCCCCCCGCAGCCGCGGTAAACAGCAGGTGCCGGCGCCACAGAGCTCAGACCCGCATTAGAGATGGGGCGTGGGGGGGGGGGGTCCCCTCACCGCCGCCAGCTCCCGCACTCACCGTTGTGCTTGCCGTATCCCCAGTGATGGGACATGGTGGCGCGGGCGGGCGGGCAAGGCAGGAGTTGGTGTCTCGTCTAGCGGCTGCTGTTGGGGCGCCTGCACCGTGTGTGTCCGCGGGTCGCACGGTCCCCGGCTTTTATAGGCTCCCGCCAAGTTGGTGATGGTGATCGGGGGCGGCCCCGGGGAGGGGACCCCGGGTGGACCCGGGGAGGGGGCGGAGGTGAGGGCGGAGGTGAGCTCCCAGGGCTGGGGCGGGCCCGCTCGGCGAGGCGCCGGGGGCGGGGAAAGCGCCCGCCCGGAGGGCGCAGGGCCGGCGGGGCTGGGGCGCCGCTCTCCCGCTGTCCCCGGCCCCCCTCGGCTGGCGGCGAGACCCCCGGGCCCTCCCTCGGCGCGGCGGCGGCGGCTCCCGGGCTCCCCGGTGGAACTGGGGCTGCGGAGCGCGGCGCGCGCCCGTCCCCCTCCCGGGAGCCGAGTGGCGGCGCCCGGCGAGGATTGCCTGGGACCGGGCCCCCGGGTGCCTTTTATCCCCGGTCTCCATTGTGAGCGCCTCACCGGCCCGGGAGCCCTCCCTGCCGGCCCCGTCGGCCTGATCGGCGGGCCAGCCTCCAGCTCGGAGACCTCCCTCGCTTAGGATCCCGGGCCTGGAGCTGGGGAGCCCGCTGGGGAGCTTTGACCTTGGGGCAAGTAGGGATTCGGTCCTTGGGGCGCGGAGGAGCGCGCGGCCCCGGCGCTGGGAGCCGGCGCCCCCTGCTGGATGCGGCGGGGTAACGCGAGGAGGGCGCCACCGTCGGGGTCCCCCCTGGAGCCTGCCTGCACGCCGGGAACCCAGCACGGGCGGTTGGCTGTGGCCGAGGGAGCCCCATGAAGTCCTCTCTCCCCTGCTTCTCTCCCTTCTTAATTCTCTGTGGACAAAACAGGTTGTTTTGTGTGTGTTGTGTTTTTGAGGGGATGGAGGTGTGTGGAGTCTAGGAGTGTGCTTAAAAATAACCAAAAAATAACCAAACCATCTAAAAAAATGGCATGGTTTTTGTGTTTGCTCAGTAAAGAAGTGAGACTTTCCTGGCTGACCAAGGACACGTATCTGTCATACCCAAGAAATTAAGCGCAATAATAGCATAGTTGTTTTGGGATTTTGAAAGCCCCCGCTGTTGTGTGGGATACCTGTAATTCAGGCCAAAGGCAGAGGCAGGAGGATCCTACCCTGGAAAAGATAACCATAAGTCCTTGCCTCAAAAACACTGAAATGAAAGAGCTGAGAGCATAACTTGAGTAGCACTGTACAGAAGGCTCTTGGTTCATTCCCCAAGACCATAGAAAGTACTTTGAAGACATTTTTGGGTCCCCAGCATTCTGATTTGCTGGATTCTAAGACATTTTGCCTCAGTGGATTGCTTCTTCATAAAGCTACACATTTCTTGAGCGCTTGCTTCGAGGTTCTAGCAGGGGAGCGCAGCTACTCCTATACCCTTGACCGAAGACCCATCCTCCTCTATCGGGGATGGTCCTCCTCTTCCACGAGCGCGCAGCTTCGGGAGGGACGCACTTGGAGCGGGAGGGAGAAGGGACACCCGCCTAGCCAGCCAGATCAGCCGAATCAGCCCTGGCGATCAATGGGGTGACAGATGTCGCAGCCAGATTGCCCTCACATCCAAAGCTACACATTTTGGACTATGAATGTAAAAGTTACTATTTTGTGTTTAAGCATTTTCCTTGACCTAAAGGTTCACTTTTCCCATCCTAATTTTAAGAGAACATTTCCACAGAAACCTAAAAAAAAGAGGGAAGTTTCTTCTGTGGTCTCTTTGAGAGCATACAATTCAGACTTAAGACCGAGCAGACTAGTTTTCCTACTTGTATAGGCCTTGATAGCAATTATTCTAACATATACAGGTTAATTTTTTTTTAAAGGTAAATTACAGTAAGCTAAATCTTAACTATCAGAATTAGTGCTTATTTCAGCTAGCTCTACACAGGCAAATGTGATTCACTGTTAGATCGCCTTGTTCTTCTTTTAGATTAGAAAATTGCTTGGCTGTGTTTATGTGGGTATTCTGGTGGAAGTCTGGGAATGCTGTGACAAAAGACTGTTGAATGTTTTAGATGTCTAGAATCTTCACAAGATAAGAAGGTTTTATTTGTGCCTCATAGCTACTGGGTCTCCGTTCTGATACAGTGTGGGGGGTGATTATTTATATAATTATCAAATATTTACTTAAGTCAAAGGAGAGGGACTCCCAGCTGAGACTCCATGGTTCTGGCGGAAATGACCAGTGATCAATGCAAAGTCTGTGAATGTAAAGGGGGGGGGGGTTAATAAGGATCCTGTGGGCTTTGGAAGGCTTTAAAAGCAGCGGGACCCCTTGCTCTCATTTCCTCCCCAGCTAATTGTGGCTTTACTACAAGGATGGAGAGGGAGCATTCTTTCATTACTAAATACCTCTCACAAACCTTAAACACCACCCAGCTAGAGTCTTGTGCTGGGGATTTTCCCTCGTCTCTACTGGGTTAGGGAGCTGAGCCTCCTCACACAGAGCTGCAGTTGGACTGGGGGAAGGGGTGGGTCAAATGCTAACCACACAGCAGGAAGTGGCTAACCTCCTGATTCTCTGGAGAGATCCAAGTGTGTTTTAATTCACTTGAATCTGTGGCAGTGGTTATCTTACCCTTTGGTGTTTTTTTTTTTTTTCCTAGACAATTCCTTATAAGGTAGAGGTGTTTAGGCCTTCATGTCAATCAGATACTTGCATTTTTCTGAGGGTATTCTTTGCAGGCTATGATAATTAGCTGACTGTACTGTCAGAGACTTAACAATGGAATTTTAGGAATAAAAACAATATGTCTTGTATACTTGTGTTTCATTAGAAGTTAGGTTTTTGTTTTGCCATATCCTACTGGGAACGTTGGCACACACTTGGAATCTCAGCACTTGGGAGACTGAAACAGGAAGATAAGCCAAGACTATCTTGGCTACACAGCCAAAAATTAATAAATAAATAAACCCTCAAAATCTAAGTCTGAAGCCCAATTCTGAATTTACATTCCTAATGTGATGTGGTTACACACATCAGAAATGTGTGTAATGTTCAGGAAATCTCAAGACAGGAAAATTAGAGTTTGAGGCCAGTCTGGGCTATATTAAAAAAAACTGTCCAAAAAGGAAAAGAAAGAGAGGAAGGGAGAGAGGGAATGTGGTTGTTAAGTATTCAGTGAGTGAGTATGTAACAATCATCTGAAGAAGTGAGGGCTCTTCAGGTCTGGCTACACATTGCTAAATACATACATGTGACGCTGTGAATGCAGTACACATCCCCACAGGTTCAAGGTGAAAGTTGAAGAGGTGAAAGTCTCTAGTCTCAAGTGGTTGCTTTGGTTTTGCTGGGGGGGGGGGGGGTCTCATGGGGAGGAAATCTTTGGAGCTTCCATGTTATTGCATTCACATATTCTTTTTTATTAAGCCAAGCTTCCGTGAGCAGGACCAGTACCTAAATTCTAAGTACCTCTATTAATTTATGAAGTTGTATTAATCTGAATAGAAGCAATGGCAGATTCGCTTGATAGAAGCCAATTGGTTACAAATAACATTATGTTAAAATTAGACTGGTTTTGAATCTGAGCCCACTTACTATCTCTCTGACCTTGGCAAATTGTATGTTCTTGCTAAGATTCAGCTTCCCTTTTGTACAACCTAGAATGACAATTCCGACCTCATAAAACTAGTTAAGGACTACATGACATAATATGTAGAAAGGGTTTAGCCCTGTGCCAGTAATGACAGCTTAATAGATGTGAGCTATTACTTTCAGTTTTCGAGCTCTATTGAATGCTCTGTGTTTACTATGGACATGCTCACTCATTTGACAATTTTGTGTGTGTGTGTGAAAATACCATACAGAGGGGTTACAATTACACGGGCAAGATAATGAGTACATTTCTTATCAAGCATTGTAGCCTCCTCCTTTGTTTCTCCTTCCCATCCCTTCCCATCTCCCCACCCCACCCCCACCCCCTTGTTTGACAATTCTTGTCCAGTGCTATTACACACCAGAGCTACAGCTGGGAAGCAGGTCCAGGAGCTCCCTGCCTGCTGTGGGTTTCCACAGGGATGGGAGGAGGCAGAGTACAATGAACAAGGAAGAAGACCACAGTAAAGTGAAGTCCCAGCTCTAGCAATGAGCACTAAGAAACAGGAATGAAGAGGAATAAGAAGGGAGCCTAGGCTACTTCAGATGCAGAGGGCACAAAAGTCCTGTGGTAGGAAGTGACATTTGAGGAGCCACTGAGGCAAGATTGGGGAAAGGGCACTTCAGCAGAGGCTCCAAGCAAAGAGATTTCTAGAACAGAAAAGCTTATGAGTATAGAATTAATGTTGAGGATGAGGAGACAAGTCGTCAAAGCAGAAGCTGGTAGGTCATGATACCGAGGAAAGATGTTTTACTTATTGCATGCGAAAGCCACTGGGAGGAAAAAAATGATACCAACTCCATTAGGAAAGAATCTGCTGGGTACTGGTGGCTCATGCCTGTAGTCATAGCTACTCAGGAGGCTGAGATCTGAGGATCACAGTTCAAAGTCAACTCAGGCAGAAAAGTCCATGGGAGACTCTTATTAATCACCAAAAATCCTAAAGTGGCGCTGTGGCCCCCAGTAGTAGACCACCAGACTTGAGCACAAAAGCATAAGTGCCTGCCCTGATTTCAAGCTCCACAACTGACAAAATAAAAAAAGGAAGAAATGAAAAGGAAGGGATAAAGAGACATTTAGAGTTAATTGGTTAACCTCTTTATTTTGAACATGAGGAAACCATTATCAGTGTACCTTGTGCTGTTTCCCACCTCCTTGCTTTTACCTAACTGCTATTAGGAAGATCCCAACTCCCTCTCCTAATGCACAATGTCATCCAGGTCCTGCATGGCTCTGGAGGCCCTTTTGGCACCGAGCCTCTTTATTCTATAGTAGAATGGGAGTCAGCTTCACACAGTGGCCAAGAGTTCAGCTTCAGTTTGTTCTATGATTAGTTTCACATTCTCAGGCTTTGGCGCTCACATGTGAAATGTAATCCAGGATGTTAAATAAATTTATGTAGATGAATTATTAGTTGGTAGCTACTCTGTGAGGATATTGTA